GGGGGGGGGGGGGGGGGGGTGGAACAAACTGATTCGATTAAAAACTTTGCAGTAAGAGTGTGTGGGGGCTGCCAGCCTTCCTGGTTAAATGTCCGATTTAATTTCATTATGTTGTACAGAGCGACATTTCTCAAGTCTGACTCTGTTGTTATTAAGTAAACAACTGCATCTTTTTCCTCTGTGCCGAGACTCGCAGGCTGTATGACTCTTTCCCCGAGATGTGCCGCAGTCGCGTCCTGTATCACTCCAATGTCGCCTGTCTCGAAAGATGTATGACGCCTCATACTGAGGGAAATGAGGCTGTGCAGATGGGTTCACACGGGCACCGCAAACACCTGAGAAAACAGATACAACAGCCTGTTCATTTTTTTTGTTGATCCCACAGAAGATCTCATAAATCACTTACTGGTGCAGCTGTCAGCAGAAACCGCTGAGAATGCTGAGATCAATATGCAGACATATCCATAAAATCCTCCCTAAGTAACTGTTCTCTCTCGCTGCGTGATCCAAGAATTCAGTGTTCAGAGTAGCATGTCTGCTTGTTTTTCTCTGAATACATGCAGATTTAGCAACACCGGTAGCCGTTCCAAATTCCTGTCTGAGTGTGCTGAACCAACATTTCTCTCCCATGTGTTGCAAGCCTCCGCTCTGCCTATGAATCAACGATGCATCAAACACACACGCACGATACACCTAACAGCCTCTGAAGGCCATCACTGTGATGAGAAATGACAGACGTACACAGATAATCCAGCCGGTGCAGAAGGTCAAACTAATTTATTTGATGTAGTCGTTTCGGTCCGTATTTCTGAGGATCAATGGGCTGTGGTTTGGATGTGATTAGAATGATGAAACTGCCAGTAAAAAGAGGTTTGCAGGCTGATGTGGAGTGAGTGATGCAGTCATACACAGATGTTTCACTCAATATTTTTCAAACACCAGTATGGGTTAAAAGTTAACAGTAATCCCAAATATTTAGATAGGGTTCTGAATCAGAGCTTATTATTTAGGATATTTTGCTCTGGACTTCACTGGTTTCTGGTGTTACACAGCATATTGCTCTTGCATATTTCAGTGGAGTTAACAGTGAATGGAGCTGGGAGTGTGTCATCGACTCATCTCATTGGCAGGCAGCACTGCCATATTACCTCCAGATCCTGTGGTACCCCACATAACCAATGTTTTGGGTCCAGATTGTCGACGGCCAGCTGGAGACTGCGGGGCCCTCAGGGAAATCAGTGCCAGAATGCTTGGAGACGGGTGAAATTGGCCTGCTGATTAGTCGGAGGATGGACTGAGGTGTGGTGAACTACACATGAAAAGAAAAAGAGGGAGACATATATAGCAGGCGGTCTGTTGACTGTGCAGGTCTCTCTGACTCTCCCATGCTTACTAATTTGTTATGTTTAAACTTTGACTATGGGATGTGTCATCTGATGTACCTCAATCAAAAATACATCCAATAGCTAGTAAGTGCATCTCTGAGATTGTTTTGTTAGATTGCTATGTCAAATGTCAAGAATGAACATTCATGCTTAACAGTTTTTAACCCCAAAAAGTGCTATGGATGGATTTATAACATAATTGAATCTGAATGTCAACAGATCCGTTTCCATGACAACTGAGCCAAAATCATCCACAGATGAAGACTGTGTGATAACTTTTAATTATAACTTGTATTTGTTTGTACACCAGCCTCCACTCATAACAATCAGTTATTGACAATAACATGCAATTGTATCTGTGTAAAACTTTATTCTAGTGCGTTATAAACTATTAATTACATGTTTATATGAATGCATAATCATATGCTAAATGGGAAGTAGTGGTTAAAGTAAAGTGTTTATTAGATTTATTATTAGAATAATTAAAGATCCTCCCAACAGAAATGCTGTATTTTCAGTAATAATTTGCATTTAATATGGTTTTCCCACAAAAATCTATGAATCAACTTGTTGAAAATTCTTGAAAATACTGGAGTTGTTCCGATACCAGTATTGGAAAATTCCTGTCCATTCTCAGTGTATGTGCAGTGCAGGCTTCACACTTGTCTAGGTTGCACATTGGAGCACGACTGGCTTCCAAACTAGTTGTGATGTTACAAAAGAAATACTCTCAGGTGAGCACAGTGAAACTTTTCCCTTCAGCAGATGAATGTGAAAACAGCCTCCTAGCATCAAGCTGCACAGTGAAGGTCAAACATCCAAGTGAAGTAACAATCAGAAACATTTGGAGGATGGAGGGGGACTTTAACTAGAATGCTAACTGATGTAGAATATCAATTAATACCTAGCTAACACTTATCAGAGAGAATCAATAGTTACTACAATAATGTTTTGGAAGAGGAAAAAAAACATTTGCTCTTGAATATTCACTAGATGTCACTGTTATCCCATCCATTCTGAGAGATACTGACTGATCACTGAGAGTGTTCCCAGAAATAAATGCATCAAAAGGAAATGCATGCCCATTTTTAAGTCAGTGGCTGGGTTTTAATGAGACTCCAGAAAAACAAGAATTTGGCAGTAGGTTACTGTTATTTTATTCTTCTGTCACTGTTTATTTATTCAAGTGTGCACATTGATAAAAAAAAAATGTACGAATGGAATTTAGGACTTCAGGTTTGGTTACTATTCCTATTTACGGTAGGCCATTTTATGAATATGAATAAAAAAATAGAAAGAACTAAAAAATGAGGCTCTTTTAATTTGATTCTGGCCTTGTGTATTTATTTGGGGCGCCACTAAAGCTTTCAGTAAATGGTCATCACCCACAGTTTAAACCAACACACTGAAGGCTCCTGCCATCCACACGGCTCTCTCAAGGGGGGCAAAGTATTTTGACCTGGATCACGGCAGAAGGCGCGTCAGCGCGGGTGGGCGTGGCTTACCGGGTGAATAACGCTGTATCCTCCGTTACGTTGCAGCAGAGTTACAGTCCGACACCAGAGAGGAGCAAAGGGAACCGAACAGCTGACTACTTCGCGGAAAATTTAACCGCGGGGTGGTGGTGGGGATGGAAAACACGGAGATATTTTTGTACTTCTTCATCGCCTCTCACTGCATGTCCATGTTCCTCATCGGGGAACCCACGGAGCTCACAAACTATGGATTGCTTTATTGAAGTTGGGCCACCTGATCCCGCTTGCGCCAGGACATCCGACCAAAATTTAGAGTAAGAGAAGTCGTTATGGACAGTTGTGCAAATCGCGCATTTCCTGCTCAGAGAACTGGTGTGAAAAGCACCGTTTCCATCTCAGGATACCAAATCCGTTTGTGCGTAAAGGACGTGGACAGAGCGGTTTCATTCAGCGCTGCCTGAAACACCCTGCGCTATGTTTTAGTCATTATGGGGGGAAGCTGTAGTTAGAATAGGGGGTGTGTTTGTGTGACTGTTTTGCCTGGCTTTTGATGCGAGAGTGGCGGCCAGCCCTTTATTGCGCGCATACCAATCGCGCGCTGCAGTTGAGCCGCTCCGTTACCACCTGCGATCCACCGCAGCAGGACCTGCAGTCTTTAAACAGGCAACAGGCCTCACCCACCGCTCTGCAAGGGTTTCACAGACATATCCGGTTATTTGAACTTTCACTACATCCAAGAGAGTTTTTTTTTTTTTTTTAAAGCTGCAGCCAAGTGCACCTGTTAGGAAGGAGTAAGCCATGGCTTTACCGGATAGTGGCATATCTGGGGAAGAGGTACCCTTCCCAGAGATTATAGAGCTCAATGTTGGTGGGCAGGTATACATAACCCGCTATTCTACACTCACAAGTGTGCCAGACTCCCTGCTGTGGGAGATGTTCAGTCGAAAGTCAGCCAAAGGACTGGCCAGGGACACCAAGGGTCGCTTCTTTGTGGATCGGGATGGCTTCCTGTTCCGTTACATCCTGGACTACATGCGGGACCAGCAGCTGGTTCTTCCAGACCACTTCCCGGAGCGCGGGCGTCTGCAGAGGGAGGCTGAGTTCTTCAACCTACCGGAGCTTGTGAAGCTGTTGGCGCCCAAAATCAGCAAGCAGAACTCCCTTGGCGAGGAGGGATGTCAGAGCGACCCAGAGGACTCCTCGCCTGTGATTGAGTCGGCCCGTAACCTCAGCTCCCTGGGTGCCGCTGCCGCCGCCTGTGCCAGCCTGGTGCCCGGCGCCATGGATGGCAAACGGTCCGGGTTCATCACCATTGGCTACCGAGGCTCATACACCCTGGGCCGTGACAGTCACACCGATGCCAAATTCCGCCGGGTGGCACGGATCATGGTGTGTGGGAAGACCTCTCTGGCCAAAGAGGTGTTTGGGGAGACGCTGAACGAGAGCCGTGACCCCGATCGCCCACCTGAGCGCTACACATCCCGCTACTATCTCAAGTTCACCTTTCTGGAGCAGGCTTTTGACAAGCTGGCTGATGCGGGCTTCCACATGGTGGCCTGTAATTCCACAGGAACCTGCGCCTTTGCCCATGAGCAGACGGACGACAAGATCTGGACCAGCTACACTGAATATGTGTTCTACCGTGAGTGAGACTATCGGCTTTGTTCCCCCTCGGTCCCCTACCCTGTCTCCAAGTGCCCCCTCCTCCTCCAGCCTCCAGCCATCCTGTCCTACTCTCTCTGATGGCTCCTGCACCAGTAGATGTACCGTAGATGTTGTGCCCTTGCATCTCTCTGCAGCCCCCCCAGCTTTTATCCCATGAACAGCAACTGCTTTGACTCATACCTTCTCTGCAGGTCGAATCTGCAGCCCTTCCCCCCCTTCAACCCCAGATTCACCCCCTCTTTCATCCTCAGGTGCAGCTTTTGCCCTTGCTTAGTTGTAGTCCCCAGTCCTCAACTACAGCAACTCCATAGCCTTTCCTGCAGAGACTGATACCTTCTATGTACTATTTCCCTTTTGTACTCTATATATTATATATCTGCCTTGGTGAAGCACAATACTGTATCCAAGAGCTAATTTTGTTAAATAAGCACCCCAGTGTGTCTACATGACTATTGAAACAGTCATAAGGGCATAAGGGAAAGGGCTTCAAAGAGTGACCCTGATGTACACTGCTGTACTTTGCCTGCAGATCGGACTCTCTCCTGCTCCTCTGAAATAAATTACCAAATAATTGGACATCTTATCAGCCTTGAGGGACATGAGCACAGCTCCCCAGCACAAGAAAGAAGTGTAACACAAAAATCAATTTTCCTTCAGTTTTTATTATATGTGTCCAGTACCATGCAGTTGGGAACGTGCCATATAGTAGTTTATCTGTTCAGCTTGTGTTATGAATGACTGAGGGTTATCAATAATACAGACACATGGACAGGGGGAAAAAAAATGCATTAGACTTTTTTTATTTTGAAAGGGAGAAGTAGATCATAGGTGTGTGGAGTTTCTTTTTCAAGAAGGAGCTGTCTGTGCGGCAAATGAACAAGCAACAGGCTTTGATTAAAAAAAAACAAAAACAATGAAAGCTCAAATATCAAGAGAGATCTCGTAGACAGACAGAAAAAAAAAGGTTCTCAGATGAAGTGTGTATTGATTTTGCAAGGGAGCTTTCAGTATTTTAATCACCCACGCTGGGAGGGCAGAGGAGATGGAAGGTGTTACATCACTCGCAGCTCACTGCTCATATTTGTTCACTCATTGTGCTTCTTTGACATTTCTTTGCTCAATTAGTCTACATATTTAAGAGCATTTTTCCAGTGAAGCGCTTCTTGGGACAGGCTTACACCATGTTGTTTCCAGAAAAAAAAAAAAAGTGGTAGTCACCTTAGCGGATCACGTTTTGAGTGTTCTGTAAACAATAATGTTATTCTCAATACTCAGTCCAGTATTAGTTGAAGCTGTTGCATATTTGATGATAGCTCTCACTTTCTGTAAGTGAGTACTCAAAAAAAGGGTAGGGTTACGTCGTAGACAGCCAAACACCAATGTTTTCTCAGCACTGTAGCAAGGGCATTGTGAGGGCAGTTTATAGTGAGCAGGTGTAACTTAAGTTATAAGGGAGCGAGTTAAGAAAGAGGGTCATTTCCAGATACAGCCTCAGGACAGGTCTGCACATCATATACCTCAGACTATAACACAAACTGAAGGCACGCAGATCCATTAAAAGCTCCAGCTGATGACGTGAAAATGAAGACACGGTTAGGAAAATATCCCAAATTAGATGCTGTAGGAGGACTGATGAATAAGAGGTTGAATATAAAGTGAATTTTGAGTTGAGAAACAGCCATCAAGGCAGTATAGTACAGGATTTCTCCTGAGCTAGAAGGTGTCAGGTTGTAGTTTTGGCAGAACGTCTGACAGTGACAATAAATGTATTCTGAAATGTCTAGAAACCGCATTGTTGTGTTTCAGTGTGATGAAGTGCTGTTGACATCTCAGTCAATATGTTAGACCTGCTGCAGTGTCGCTGCAGGCGTAGACAACACTGAAATTAAAAGTGTTCAGCAAAAAGCAAATTGATTTGTCAAATAAAAAGATGTTTTCTTTCTATTCGGGTTGTATTTTCCATTCATAACACAATGTTTTCTCAGCATTGAATGGTATTCAGCACAAACTATGAGGAAAGTTTACGTTTTTTAATTTCCACTGACAATACGACTCAATCACAAGTACACCATTCAAATTTTCATCTCATCACTTCCCATAAAAGGAAATGTCCTTGGACATAAACTACATATTAAATGTTCAACACTCTATCCTCAGGCACCATCCTCCCTCTTCCTCCCATCTGCCTTTCCACTGTTTCTCCACATCTTTTCCTCTTTTTTGTTCAGTTGACCAGAAAACAGAGCCGTGGTAGAAATGAGGACATGCATAGATAACAGGCTCTGTTAAAGCAGATTACAAAACCCTTATTTTGTTTCCTATAATTGACCTAATTACTACGTATAGTAAAGAAAATCTTAAAATAGATTGGGCCTAAAATGCAGGACTGTGAAATACTTTGAAAATAATACCGTAGTTTTATAGGCTTCACAAGATTAGAGATTGTTTTTGACTGCATTTTTATTAAGTACACCCACAGACAGAAAAGTGTGCATATTTTACATTTGAACAACAACAAGGGTCATGTTTATGTGAGTAAAGCAGGCACATGTTGTTTTATAAACTCTGACTCATATAAGTTTTTTCATAAGAGATTATCCCCTGCTAATTACGTTAGTATAAGACCTCTAAACCTGATCTCAGTCTGGCCTAGATAAAAGCATAGCTGATGAGCCTCACAAAAACTGTTGAAAAATTTATGTGGCTCCCTTCCTGGAAAATAGATGATTTTTGTTGCGGTCTGGAATGCATGGCAAATCCGGACAATACCGTGCCTGTAGTGTCTCTTCAGCCCAAACAAACACAGTCACAGACAGCATTCCTCTGTCACTGTCCTCTGGCACACTACTGCAACACTGGAGCGCCAAGGTCAGTCATTAGCACAAGCATGGAGAGACACGCCTCGTGTGAAATTTCAGGCATCAGTGTTCTAAACTGTTCTCGCTCTTCACGTCCATGAGTTGCCTTGAGACTCAACATTCAACAGTAGACGTGTGAGAAGTGTTGACACTCCGACATTGAACAGCAGCGAGGTCCACATGCCAAGCTGTGTTGAAATGCTCCTTGGGTTTTTTTCTTTATCTATCTTTTTTTTAATGCTCTGTTGTGAAACTTGTGGCTGAAAAGTGTAGCACGCCTGCTCCTGCGCCATATCCAAAAGCAGGTTCTAGTTGTGTCACCATAGTGGTATGCCTGTTCTATCCAGAACGTTACAATAAAGATATTTTACCATGACATTTTTGCTTCTCTGTCTTTTGGAAAATTCCAAAATAGCAGATTGCATTATTTGCTCATCACAAAGCACACATTCAACTTAATTAAATAATTTCTTTAATATTATTCATATTCTTACCACAAGGTTTGATATACAATTTCTCACTGAGCTTTTCTCAATGAGCAATCCGTTATTAAACTCTTATCATGAAGTACAAGGGAAAAAGAAACCTTGCAAGCACAAGATTCTTCTCAGTACCTTGAGGCAGTGATTTGACCCATGTCGTCTTCCTGTGGTGCTATTGTTACTGTAGGCAGCTCTACATGGCAATATGCCTTGGCTCGGTCTGCCTTCCTCTCTTAGAATGATCCCCTTGTCTTGTAGCCAGCTGGGTCATCGCTTCCCCCAATTGGAAAAAAGAAAGGAAGAGAGCAGAAGGGGAACAGGAGCGGATGTACGTCAAAGGAAAAGAGATTGGAAAATGGGGCAAAGACGAGAGAAAGTGAGACAGATAACCTGGTGGAAGTGAGACGAGACTGGGGGAGTATTTAAGTGGGAAGGATTTGGTGTTCCGATCTTATCTTTCTGAGCAACTCCAGCATGAAGTGTCCTGTTATTCGGAAGAGGTGCTGGATCACCCTGACAAACAAAGCCCTCACTGGGCCGTGCTGTAATGTGCTCCTCTGTGGCCCATCTGCTCCGTCAACACTCACAGACAGATTCAGTAACACCAGACAGATATAGATCCACAGGATTACTCGGTGGTTGGGATTAATATTGATTCATAGTATATGATTACATCAAAAGAAAGTGGAAAAATTTATATTTTCCAACAAAACATAATTGTTTTTTCTGTCATCATGTGAATCATGAGCTGTGCCTGTAACTATAACCAGCCCCGGTTCCCAGACTGCATCCTCTTTTATGAATAGACATACCACATGCGTTAGAGTGACAACACAGAGCACTACAATGAGTCATTTTCCCTACATCTTAGACTGAGTGTACTATTAGATGTTGTCTGCGCGCTGCTGTTTCTGTTCATTCAGCTGCAACCATCTGTGGCTCTGCGCTTGTTCATGTCTTCACAGCCTTAATGCCATGTCTACTTCTGGATCTGCATGCCGGGATATTCTGACTCTGTTTCGTTCTCATGTTTGTGCTTACGAGGAGTTTTAGAGGGCAGGTTGGATAAGTTTTTACGGCCTGTGTGTCGGGTGTGTCAGCGCTGGTTTGGTATGGGGGGCCACGCGGGGGCAATGAACTAGGTGCACTCCCTCGCTCACAAATATGCTGAGCCAGCAGTTGGCATCTGTGAACGCAAACACAGACCACACACATGCACAGAGGGAAAGAAGTTGCTAGGAGAAGATGTGCAACAACCCTCCTGTGCAACGCTAATGAGTCAGAGCTGTGAGGTTTTAGATCTAATTGGTCGCCTTCATTTCACTCTTCTTTGCGATCAGTTAAAAATGCATTAGCAGACAAACAAGCCATTTGCCTCCCTCATCCTCTCTTGACAGCAATAACAGGAGAAGTCCATGCTAATATAGGAAAGCATCATTGCCGCTAATTACCTTAGAGTAGTGTCGGCCAATAGGAGGATGTAGTGCAGAACCGGAGAACCGAAGCCTAAGGGCCTACGACTGCTTTCTCCACCAATATGTGAAGTCTGTGAAGGGAGGGTTTGCATGCTATATGTGAACGTCAGCCCAGCGCGTTACATGCTTTGATTCATTTGCACATGTATATGTATGTGAGCTGAAAAACCTGCTGTACCTGTTTGTATTTGTCCTTGACGTCAAACAAGCTTCGCCCACACCGCAATGTAAGCCCATATGCAAGTACAGTAGCGCTGGATCAGGGCATCTTTATCTCATTGTGTGTCGGGTTATTTATAGTGTGCCAGGCATTGAGTCAGATGTGTACCGCCACTGCTCCTCGAGCATGGGTACATATGCTCCTACTGCCCCTCCTCCTCCTCCTCCTCCTCTTTCTCCCCTTCTTCCTCCTCTTTACACAGATCTCTTGCAGAGAGCCGCTATCACAAAGCATATTGGCTTCCCAAACACCTGGGGGACTCCGTCACGCAAGGTCAGGGGGGTAGTCATACCCAAGGGCAGGGAGGCAGAGAGGACAGTTAACATGGGACGTGGTCTAGCAGCTGAAAAAGAGCAGATTAGGTCACTCCCCGAGTACAGTAGGGTGTCTTCTCATCCCTCTCGCTCCATGTTGTCTCTTTATTATTCTCTTTGACTGTGCAGTCTTTTCTTTTCTCTTTTAAGCTCCAAGACACAGAAAGACTAAAGTAAAAGCTGGACAGGAATGAGGGAGCATGAAATTTGTTATAAAGGAAGTGAGTCAGAGTGTCAGAGGAAAGTTGTAGGATTAAAAAGGAAAGGAACAAATAGGATAACTCAAGTGGCAAAGTCCCTCATATATACTGCCATAGGGACTGTAAATATTATGAAGAAAAGCATCAGGAGTGGGACAGAAGTAGTTAGAAAGGAAAAGAGAAACATCAGATTGGCAAAGCAAGTTGGAAGTTGTGACAATAACTGACTGAGGAAACCGTTGCAAGACAGTTGAACATCCCCTGCTTGACTCAGCTGCACCTGGCATTTTAAAGATGTAAATTGTTTCATTACAAATGCAACATATTGCAACTAAAACTATGTGCTGATGCCATTGATTAAGGGGCCTCCTGGACACTAGCCCAGGACCCCATCAGGACGGGGGGGGGCAGCCTCTATATAAGTGACTGTTATTAACATTTCTCATTAAAATTCAAAGAGCTCAGTTTAAAGTAGGAACATACTAATGATGTTATTTTTTGCTCCTGACTGCTGCTCATACAGTCTGATGCAATATATATTTTTTATGCTTTTTGCCTAGACTAAACATTTGCACAGTACCGAAAGACAACAACATTTTTTTACTAAAAAGTCACAAAATAATGCACAAAAAATATTTCTGTTTCTTAAATAATAACTTCAATCCTGGTTTGTTTTATGCTGTTGTTTGAAGGGTTTTCTTTTACCCCCTCACTATTTAAAAACAATTTATATATGAAACATAGTTTTATGTTGTTTTTAATATATGGTTTTATTTAATACTTATATGTTTTGGTAATTAGGGTTGGTTGACTAGCATGGGAACAATAATTAAACAGTTTATTTATTTGCAAATGAATGTCTCGAGATGGCAATTACTTAAATCTGATGAGTTTTAATTACACGCTATCAATCACTGACAGAGAGGAAAGGGTCATATATTTACTTTAATAAATACAATTTTAAAATGCAAAGCATCCCCTTATGTATTTTATTCTATAATTACTTAGAATAATGTGGTAATACATGCACAGTACATCAGCTTTGTGAAAAGAATGTGAAAGTACGGTGAGCAGTCACTATGTCTCTGCTGATCTAATGATTCTTGCTTTAAGCATCGAGTTGTAAATGTGTCACTGCTGTTGTTAGGATAGGATTCACCTGGGCCATCTGGAGTCTTGGGCTTTAATCTGCCCCGCTAATTATCAGTAATCTGAACAGTCAGCATGTCCCTGTGCTGCCGTCCTGTGCAGAGCTGACACTGGGCAGGCGAGGACAAGCAGGTGGCAGGGGGGCTGCAGGCTATGGGGGTGCCAGGGTGGGCTTTGGGTGCTTAGGCAGACTGTTTAATGGCTGTAAACGCCAGGCAGCAGCTCAGGGTGTTTAAAGCAGAGGGAGATAAACAGGAGGCACATGAAGCAGGTGAATCAGTAGGACACTTGGATCGGACATTTGTGCTGCAAAAATAAAATATACATATTGCATAAAATATCATATAAAAGTCTTTTCCTCATCCAAATGAATTGGAAAACCTTATCTGCTGGTTGGTTATTGATGACTGGCTCACAGGTTTCTCTTAAACACCTCCTCTTTCCGCATTTCTTTACAATAACCTCTGCTCCCTTCTTTGCTTTTCTTAACTTGGCAGCAGCTCCCTGGTCTCCAGCTGTTTGCGTCACGCATTTCCTTTACATTATGTAGATTGACGGATTTGTAATTGCTCAGAGACTTGTGAGTACACTCCAGTGATTTTCTATCTGGGCATCTGTGCTTATGCCCGGGCATGTAAAGTTAGTCTGAAGAATATAATATTAACATGTCTGATTACGCCTCCGTATGTATTTGCTCTGACGGCAATCAGAGCGAAAAGACAATGAATGAAAAGACTGTTGGTGGTGAGGCCCACTCTGTCATTAAGCACCATCATTTCACAAAGCAGATGTTGGATATCTGCGCTGAATACTGGGTTATTAGATATAAAACACGCTGTAATTGCCAAAACTATGTAGCGTGAGCTCCCTTTAGAACAGCGGGATAGAGCCATATGCACAACTTCACACTCTGGATAAAAGGCTTCTATCTGTCTCATACACATTACTATGCATTTGTGTAACTCAGGCTCCTGCACATCATTGTGGCGTTACCATGGAGATGATGCTGTCCTCTTGTTTGCCAGTCTCTCCATCCTCGGGTCACAACACCTGTCAGCAGCCACAGTGAATTTTAAAAGGTACCCACAGATTGACCTGATCATATTCAAGGTAATTCAGCCAATGTTTGTGTAAGCAAATGTAGACCACAATGATACTGCAGATATTTTAGAGCTCCCTTTTTCAACAAGCCCACATAGCTTTGGTTATTATCTTTTAGCAATTTAGTTTCTAGGATTTAGTGACATCTAGTGGTAAAGTTGCAGATTGCAACCATTTAAATACAACCCAGCATTCCAAGCGTGTAGTAGAAACTAAGGTGGACAAAGACGCGAAAGGTCCTCAATAGACCTGGTGTTTGGTTTGCCCATTATAGGCTACTGTAGAAACATGCCGGTTCAACATGGCAGACTCCGTAGAAGCTCTGTCTGTAGATTAAAAAAACGTCTCATTCTAAGGTAACAAA